CGGTTGGGTTCACCGTTAAGTCATTTTTTTCGACGATGGGCCCGTTTAATTTCCATTGAGAATCATATCTCTAATATATTTGATAGTTGTTACCTAATTGTTTAATTTTAGACTGCAGACAATTGCATAGCTAGACGAGTGGATTTGAAGAGAGTCCGCCAATTTGGAAAATGACCTCTAAACATGACTTGTAGGGGTGAGCACGGTTCGGTTCAAACCGAAAAAACCGACCGAACCGACCCGAACCGACCCGGAAAAAGCGGTTTTATGAGTAAGGCGGTTCGGGTCGGGTTGATAATTTTTCAAACCGACCCGAACCGAACCAACCGAATATATTTGTGCCTTTGATTTGTGGGTTTATTGTTGTGTTCGATCACCATGAATAGCAGTTGTAGGGAATTGATTCATATATAACCAATGTTCTAATGAGTCAGCTCCTTTTTTTGTCTCCACAAAAACCAAAGTCAAAGCTTGCTACACAAAGACAAAGCAAGTCCGTTACTAAAAAATTACAACGTCAGAGTCTAGTATTTAATCCAAAAGAATAAGTTGCTTCACTTAAAAACAGTATACATACATGAGCAAGAATAATAAATTGAAGTGAAGTTAAAAAATAAATACATGCTGGCATAGGGTAATAATAATATATAAAAGATAAATTGAAGTGAAGTTATACTTGATGAAGTTAGAACCGAACAAACCGAACCGCACCGAACCGATTTGTAATGGTTCGGTTCGGTTTTGAATTGTAGGTGGTTCGGTTCGGTTGTTCAAATTTTGGTAAAAACCGCCCCGAACCGAACCGTGCTCACCCCTAATGACTTGTATGAACGCTACAAATAGACTTGAACTCTTTTAAACATAGTTATGAATATTGAATCATATTGACTAAACCAAACTCACACTACGCACTAAACGCAATCAAATTAATGCTCTAAACTATTATCAAATATGAACATATTAATCATGCAGACTAATTTGATAGTCCGCGTGCTCTGCTTTTGCACGCAGACATCTATAATAGTGTGTCGTACCACTTATGAAAAAGTCCTCAAGCGCCTAAAATATGAGACCAATAGGGGGGACAAGCGAGGTGTCCCTCTCATATTGGA